CTATCCCAGACAGTATCAGCATATTCTACAAGTGGTCTAATAAACGAAAAATATATATTTTGTAATGTTTGCCTGTCGAGTTTAAATTTTAGAGATCGCATAATATTTAATCTAGACGTTGCTTTCTGAATTATTTGTTTAACATGTTCAACCCAACTGCAATTATTCGAAAAAAGAACTCCAAGATGTTTATGCAACAGTACTTCTGATATTTCTTCATTGCACATATGTAAGATTGGATGTGGTTGACTGTTTCTTTTTCTACTAAGGGTCATGCTTTCCGGTTTTTTAGGATTGAAATCAACTAACCAAGATTTGGACCATTCAGTAATTTTTTGTAGATCTGACTCCATAATGTTGTTTGTTTCTAAGGGGTTTTCAACTATCATGTACAGAGTAGTATCATCAGCAAATAATTTGATAGAAGATTTGATATCGTTGACTATGTCATTAATATAGATTAAAAACAACAAAGGTCCAAGTATTGAACCCTGTGGAACTCCAGCCTTAACTCCTGCCCAATCAGAGTGAATATTATTGATTATAAGTATTTGTTTTCTATTCGTTAAGTAGCTTTCGAACCATTTTAACAGTGATCCAGTTATTCCAATTTTTGATCATTTATTTATACAACAGCCCTTTGTGCCAAACCCTTTCAAATGTTTGCTGATGTCACAAAATACTACTCTTATTTCTTTACCTGAATCTAATGCCTTAATAAAATCGTTGGAAATACTTAATAATTGGTTAAAGAGGAATCGCCTGGTGTAAAACCTGATTGATATTTTGTTATTACTTTCAAATCAAGAAGAAAATTATGAACATGTTTATAAACGCACCCCCGAACACTTTACCAATTATTCTTAAAAGTGAAATTGGTCGATAGTTTTTAACATCATAACGGCTATCTTTTTTATATATAGGTAAAACATTTGCTTCTTTCCACGATGATGGAAATATTCCTTGTGATAAGGATTTATTAAAAAATATAGATAGTGGCTCATCAAGTGATGTTGCAGCTTACTTGAGCACTTTGGGACTAATAAGATCTGGTCCTACAGCTTTACCAGTTTTCAAATTGAGTAAGGCATCCTTAACATCAGTACATGATATATTTATATTACTCAGACAAATACGATTAGAGAATTCTATTCTTTATGCACTAGGTGGTATCAATAACATGTTTCAAAGATCATTACGAACAGTATTTTCCAACGTTTTCTATACCAACCTATGTTTTTAATGGAAATTAGGGCATGAGCAATGTCACATGACTTGACGAGAGCTCGCGTTACCGAAGGTATTTCCCAACGTTATGACGTAGACCGTCGAGATTTTGGTCACGTGGCATAAGAAGGCGGGGCTATCAAAAACGTAAAGTAAAACAGAGTAAGTTTGAAAAAATATGTTTTTAGTCATTGTATTGGTTGTTTGAGGCATGTAATTTATGTTCATCTTGTGCATAAAGAATAGATCTTTCGATCCATGTGCGACATGTGTGTGAAAGTGACGATTTGTTTCTAAAATATCAGTTTGAAGAGAGACCCAGGCACCGGTCGCTTATTTCCCGCATATTATAGAGGGCCGGAGTTATGACGTTAATCGACGACAGACCGATGTAAAAACGCCGATAAAGCGTCAGAATAATTCGAACTAACAGGAACTATGACACCAAATAACAGATTTACAGGAACTATGACACCAAATAACAGATTTACAGGAACTAGCACAGCAAATAACAGATTAACAGGAACTAGGACAGCAAATAACAGATTTACAGGAACTATGACACCAAATAACAGATTTACAGGAACTAGGACAGCAAATAACAGATTTACAGAACTTTTGACAGCAAATAGCAAATTAAAAGGAACTTTGACAGTTAAAACAAATTTCAGTCTGTTTTGTTAAAAAAAAAGGAAGAGATATTAGTGTCATTTAATAACATTATTGCGATTTAATTGTAGATATGATACACCATAGGGCGGGCTTGATTCGCTACCCAGTTTACATGTATACCGATTGTAGGCCATATTGTACGTATGTCACATGACTTGACGAGATCTCGCGTTACCGAAGGTATTTCCCAACGTTATGACGTAGACCGTCGGATTTTGGTCACGTGACATTAGAAGGCGGGGCTATCAAAAACGTAAAGTAAAACAGAGTAAGTTTGAAAAAATCAGCTTTTAGTGATTGTATTGGTTGTTTGAGGCATTTAATTTATGTTCATCTTGTGCTTAAAGAAAAGATCTTTCGATCCATGTGCGAAATTTGTGTGAAAGTGACGATTTGTTTCTAAAATATCAGTTTGAAGAGCGACCCAGGCGCGGGTCGCTTAATTCCCGCATATTATAGAGGGCCGGAGTTCTGACGTTAGTTTTAGTTTAAACATATTTTATTGCCAAAAAATGCAAAAGGATTGGGCACAAGTTACATGAACATTATTAACGCCCTTTCCTTATAAGATAATTAATTGTATATACACATTATAAGATGGCTTTCATAGTTTAAATCAATACATTTATCTATTATTGAGAGAGAGA